TACCAAAACTTATTTGTCTAAAAATATTTTCAATTAAATTTTGACTTTAATTACATATAAAATATATTATTAATAATAATAATATATAATGTGATGAAAATAAATATGATTTTAACCTTCCTATTCAAATGAATTATCGATTTATTATAATTCTAGTTATACCAAATAATTTTATAAATATATAACAGACAATAAGATAAACAAATGAATAGATAGATAAAAGATTTTTATAGGAATTTAATTGTTTAATTGAAATTATTGATCGAATAAATGATTCATTTTTCACATCTATACTATTTAATAAAATATTTATTAAATAATACACAATTTAATTTTGATGATGAATAAGAAAAAACGAATATTATTAATAAGAATGATATTATTTTTAATATAAACGAACTAAATTATTCTATTATTGTTCGTTCTTCTATAATAGAGAAAAATCAATTTACCTCATTACCATTGGATGTACAACAGTTCCATGTTATCTTCAAAAGATCTGAGTTCATCTTACCAATCAAATCTTTCATATGATGTGAACTTACTGGAGGGTGTGGGTGTGGGCGTGGATAGAGGATGTTAGTGTAGGTCTGGGTGTGATTGACATTGGCTCTTTCTCTTCGTTTTACCCACATTGAAACACTCACACCCAATATACTGTTGTCAATCGTATTGGCTTGAGTATGTTTAAGACTAAATGAGAATCTTCAACGCGTCCAAAGTTGCAGCCATGCCCATTCACCTACTGACACCCGTGAATTATCAGGTTTTTTTATTGCCTCAATATGTTCTTTCCATGATTCATGATTTTTCTATCGCTCTCTTTCTTTTTGACTTTGTCCCACTCTTGCTTTCTTGCTGCCGGGTACCAATCATTGAAATCTTTTTTCTCCTTTTCTACGCGTTTTTCTTTCACAATCATTCTTTTCTTTGAAATTCGTCATTTCTTTTGTCTTCTGTCTTTCTTGATCCAGATTAAAGAGGATTTTTTCCAACTTTTAGCTTTCGTCCTGCCATTACAGATCTGCATTCATTATCAATCACCATTAACAATCATTAAGAAGATAACAATTATATGTTTATTTCGTCTATTATATTTTCTCTTCTACTATTTTTCACGACTAATCTTTTGCAACCAACTATATGTGTGTTGCCTAGTATGGGATAAATTTTCCACAATAATTGACCAAATCAGAGAAGCCGGTATGTGTCATACAACAATGTTTAAAATATTCGTGATAAGAACAATAGTAGATGTCATTTATTGTTTGAAGGCCAACATAGTTGACAAAATGTTCTCCGTCTATTAACACAGTGATTCGATATATAAACAAATTTTATGTTAACTAATCATAAATTACTGATTCTTTTTGTGGTGTACAACCAGTAGTTGAGATTGATTTTGTAGGAGAACCACATGATTGCAACAATATGTAGAATACGCGTAATCGATAGAAATTCGTCAATATTAATAGTGAAACAGAAACTATTATTTTAGGATCTAAAATTTAAACACTAATTTTGCATAGCTTAAAATAATAGAGGTGATCATTGTATCCATTGCTTTAAGTTCTATGGCATCGAAGTGTATCCAATTTCTATATCCTTTGTATTGTGGTAGAGGAGTAGTCATACTCATGGTAATTGATCTTATTCTTATTGTTACTGTTTTTAGTCAATCAATTGAGTTGTCCCAAAGAATGTTGACGTCTAGGTGGTTCATGTTATTATATATCCAATATAACTTCGACATTAAATGAAGCCAATTATACGTGCAGTCTCTTTCATTCCAATCATTCACAACTAATGCAAATTCGTAATTCTATCGGATTATTCTACGCAACATATATTCTTACCAAAAATAATTTTTCGTCAATGATGCTCAATATCGATCCGCAAATGATCAAAAGTGAGTTAATATCAAAAAAGAAATCTCCTAATCCATTTATTCGTTTAGGCAAGCATATTGCTGAATTATTGATTAATGATCAAGGTAAATGGCAACAAATGAAAGAAAACCTTCGTGAAACACGAATAAAACACTATAAATTGAAAACAAAAGTACTTGATGAATTACATGCCGTTGGTTTGCGTATATCGAAACGTTCAAAAAAAATAAAAAAAGTTGTTCACGAAAAGAAAGAAAAAATTCGACTTGATTATAATAATTCGGATGAATATTATTATGATGAAACAATCGATGATTATTTCTACTCAAAATTCAATGAAAGTCGATGAACAAGATTATGAAGAAGAATATTTCGATTTGCCTGATGAATCCGATGATTTTGAACAGATCGACGATGTTCGCGAAATCTGTGATCAAGTTGTTTGGAATGTTATAAAAAATGATTCTCAAGTCTGTACACTAACAACTTTTCTACGTACGAATAAAATCATCTGTTCATTGAGTGACACTGATCTCAATATCAAATATAATCATGTCTATGAGCATGGTATGTTATTCTTCTTCATCTCTAACGGTTTGTCTTATCGATTAGTACTCGACTTTTGCTTTGCAAATGATGTATGTGGCAAACATGGTTATTGTATCAATAGTCCATCGAGTTTCAAATGTTCGTGTTCGTTCTTGTACGATGGCATTCTTTGTGAAAAAAGTAAGAAAACCGATTTCTTCTTCTTCGTAGCAAAAGAATTGAAAAACGATTTTCCTATGCAAGTACTTGAGACTTGAGTCTAATATATATACGAAAGAAAGTGAAATGGTCAGAAATTTTGCTAAACAAGCGCGAGAGTATACACACAAGATACTCACTTATACCTGCACGTACACTCTCGACCTAAGTTCCCGCTTACCATCAATTCTTACTCTCGAGATTTGTACGATATATGAACAGCACTATCGTTTGTTTATGCGACAAATTGTTCGGTTACTGGCTACATCACTAAGGAAAGAATTATCGAGTTTTATCATTATTTACAACGAAAATTTAAAGAATTGGAAAAATAATATGTATAATATTTGTTGTTGCTTTTTCTCTCTGTAGTTTAGAGACAAGGTCAACAAATTCTAATTGGCTTAGTTATTATTATTTTTCTCTATGGTTTATCACTTCAAACAATTCGAGGATTTCTCTGGTTTCTTGTCAAACAAATTATCAAGGAAGCAAAAGTCTTTCATTCATAATTTTCTCATGTTTTAATTGGAAGATCTAGTATGTCAGATAAGAGTTGATGATGAGCAGAAAAACTGAAAATAGTGTAATCTATGAAAAAAACAAATTTCATCGTTTGTTTTGCCTAGACGTTGTAAATTTCAGAATAGAACTCATCACTGCCAGGAAAAAGAACTGCGAACACAATCAATCACTCGAAAAAACAAACGAAAACAAGTACTGACCGCTCACTAAGTCAAATATTGGAACTCATGATGATAGTCTATATGTCATCAGTCCATATCTTGTAGAACAGACGACGAACGTCAACGCACAGCTACATCGTCCGACAATATCAAAAGAGACTATGAGATTTCTGTGAGTATATTTTTCAGAACTCATTTTCTATGCGTTCTCTTGCTTTTTTAATGCAAATACCCTCACGTTTATAGATGAAAAACATATTAATATGTACCGTATGAAATAGTACAGAACAAATTTAAGATTCGATTGTTCATTCAAATCCATACGAGATCAATACAAGTTCTTTCTATTTCCTTTTTTTTTTTATTAACCAGTTTGAAAATCTTGCGAACAACTTATTCTTTAAGATGTTATTTTCACCAAGAATTTTTCGACATTCATTTTTATTTCATTTTTCAGTTTACCTCGAACACCAACTTCATTGTTAAATCCGAAAAAACTTGAACTAATTCGTGTGTTTTGGGTCGGTGGTTTGACTGTATTTATTCTTACTCTTATGTTTATCATTACGATGATACTTCATTTCCCTTCATTTCATTACAAGATTACCCATGAAACTAAAGTCAACGAATTAGTCGAAGATATTATTCGTCTAACAGCTCAATGTAAACTAATTTCGAAATAATGAATCGGAAATTTGATATTTTCTCCCATTGCTCTCGCATTAATTATTATATTTTCTTGGTCGATTAAACGAGAAACACGATGTCGAATTATGTGCAATGGTCAGTCAGGTATAATACGACCGATTAAACCATTCCGTACGGCGAACCGATTCACAACAGCAATTGTATTCGGCATTCTTACTTTTGAAGTATTGAAAATTTTCGAAGGACTCTCTAGCTCCATCGAACTGATGAATAATGGTGTACTCCTCGCATTACCCCAATATATTAGCATTTTAATTCTTCTCGGGTCAGTTCAATTTTTTTATTTTCTAATATATTCCATAATTACTTTTTTGTCTCTTCTTCAGACTTCGTTACTATCCGATTCTAGCCTCTCTACAACTAAAACATGTTGTCGCTCGTTTCTTTGCTCTTCTATACATTATTGGTAATATTGCCAGTGAAGGTCGTGAATCTATTACTCCCAAGGTATCGTAGCACTATCATTTGTATTGTGCCCTCATTGACCTTCTGTCTTCTTGCAGTTTCAAAATATTTCGTTTTTTTTCTGAAGTGATTCCGTCCTCAACGGATTAATTATCTTCAAACTTGCGAAAATCACAAAGTTCACAAAATGATGAGCATCATTATGAAGCAAAGTCGTTCGTATGGTCCATCATAAAATTCAATTTAGGTGTGAGTATGTTTTATAACGCCACTCGTAGATACATCCACACTCAACCCACAACCATACCTGCCCATACCTACACCCACACCCTTTTTGGGTTTTTTAGCTAACAAGAAAGATCGAATTGAAAATTTTTTAATTAAAAAGTATGAAGTTCCCCTGACCTACCTGCAAAAAATGCCGAGCATCACAAATCTTTATAAAGCTATTCTAGAGTGTAGATATGGATGTGAGTAAGTGTGATTGTCGATGGGTATGGAAGGATGTGAAGGAGTGTGAGGGTAAGTATCCGAGAGAGAAGATGACGCTCATTTGCACAGTCACCTCCAACTATAACAACACTCACGCTCATCGAGTCTGGTAAGAGGAGATACAACCAATCCGAAACAGCACGCGTCTCACTTGCTCATTCTTCATTAAGAGTGTTTTTTTGCAACGTAGCCTGCTGCATTACTTGTTGACAAAGAATAAAGAAAGAGGAAACAGGAGCAAATCATGGGGGAAAATGGAGAGAAAATAAAATAAAATATGACAACATAAGTGATGTAAATTCAGGTGTATTGGAATGTAGATGATGAAATAACCTTACTCAGATCTTTATTGAGTCACAATAAACTCGACGCCCAAAGGAGAAAAACAAAATAGCAAAGAAACAAAGTGCTTCAATGAGTTGGAAATTGCCAACGTAAATATATTTAAGTTGTGTAGATGGTTCACTATACATCACACTTTTTGTATCCAAATCAAAAGAAAGGTATTATGAGTGAGTACTGTCCTTCTCCATCTCGTGCAAAATGCAGTTGGTGTCACCAAAATGCTACTGGTCGATGTGATCACTGTCGTGCACGATTTGAATACAGCTGTTTCAGACAACATGTACAAACTTGTTCTGGTGCTCGGAATATAACTCGCGGAACGCTCACTCTTATACCTGAATGCCAGTTTTGTAGCAATGACGCAAGGGGCAAATGTAGCGGATGTAATGAATCGGTGTGCGGAACCTGCTTCGAGCGAAATCATAGAGTTCACAGAGTCTACCGAACGCAATCTAACTCAGCTTCGTGTACCATCTCTTGAACGGCCTATGGTAACTGATTAAAACAAGACTTTTACATTTCAATCGTGCTTTTCATAACATTTTGCAGTATATACCAGAAAAAAAATCATTCGTTATAATCATTGTTTTTAGTGTAAACCCGCCATTATACTCAGCAACTTCTCCTACTCAGACTATGCAAGCAACGTGAGATTTTCTGTGAGAACATCTGTTCGCATGTAAATGGATGAAATAAAAATTTCATTAGTGAAAACTCTCGATTAATAATAATAATACCATCAAGGGTGTGGTTGTGGTTGAAGAGATCCATACACCCACCTCCACACCCACACCCACAACAAAATAAGCGTCATTTATTAGTTTGTCATCTGTTTAATATTAAATTTTTGTACTCGGCAATTTCCTTGATCGACAACGTATAGATTGCCATATCGGTCGAATGATAAACCTTGAGGAAAAAATAATTGATTCGATCCTTTTCCTCGACCGTTCCCACCAGCAATTACACTTCCTTGTGTGGCTCCTTTGGGCCAACGTATTATTCGATGATTGTAATAATCAGCCACATAGACAGTATTCAATTGATCGACAACAACTCCTGTACGACCGTGCATTTTTGAAAAATCATTGATTTGTTCTGGACCACCCTCTACAACAATGCCTTCTTTTGCACCTTCTTCCCATTTCATCACACGATAATTTCCTGAATCAGACACGTACACTGAACGATCTTGATCGACAAATACGTAGCAGGGGTTATAGAGTTGATCGATACAATGTCCTATCCCAACACTATCTGCAACCAAGGTTCCTCCAAAATCACCAATTCTATATCGTAAAACTTTCTGTTTCGCACAATCAGAGACATAGAGAGATCCAGTCTGATCTAATATCAAGCCCATACAATCGATGTGCGAGATAATTGTTTCTCCACTAGCGCCATTTCGACGAGGCCATCTGACTACTCTATAATTTCCCGCATCAGAAATGATAAGACTATCTCTTTCTTTGTCGACAATCACATCGTGAGGACGATGTAACTGATTAGTTCCGTTCCCTTCTCCATTGCCACCGGCAACTACTTGACCACTCGTTGCACCGTATTTCCATGCTACAATACGATGATTCAAGTAATCGGCGACATAAATTGTTTGATCGTCATCAACATATAAACCATGTGGGTTATCAAGTTTATTGAGTTCATTGCCTTTGCCATTTCCTCCAGCCACAGTGATACCGTCTTGTCGCCATGTTGCATTCGGATGAATGTCAATAGCAGGTGCTCGTAATGGTCCTGAAATGAAACGAAAATGTGAAGTAGAAGAAATAAACATCAATTACATTGAAATGAGTTTCTCATGTCTTTTTTTTTGAATGATATGATAAAAAATTTGAATTTTTTTTATTTCATTTCAAAAAATTTTACTTGTTTGTTGTCTCAACATTATTGAAAAAAAAAAGATTGTTTATTTCAAAGTATATTTTATTCAGTCTTAGAACTTTCTTTATATCTTTACAAAAGACGATGTCCTGACATCATTCATGCTATAATCGATTTTTAATGCGTTGACAATATTCAAATGTCATCGATCATAATAAAAAGAAATTTCTTTCACTCATTAATAGTTCGATTTAAAGAAATAGCATTAAAATCAAGTGTCAAAAAACGACAAACAATGTTCATCAAGTAATCTAGCACATTTCAAAGATCATATTATGGGATACAGTCAATCACGAATTAAATAAAACATTCGCAAAATGTTATATGTGCACTAAATTTATTTATTATATTGTTTTAAAAACAGTAGTTAATGCAAGGTAATGAGTAGAACCTCTTCTGTTTCTGACGATGATGTTTATCAAAATAATTGCAATCTTCAATGTACTTCTTTCTTTTCAACTGTAAAATTATCAAATAATCCGAAACAATGCTGGCAATCACAAAAGAACAGAAGAAAAAGTAGATAAGGAGAAAACTAATTCATCAGCCAAGAGTCAACAATTAACGCAGAAAAAGAAGAAAGAAGTGAATTGTGACTATCATCTATCATACAATGACATGATGAATGTCTCCTTATGCAATTGTTATCTATATATGATAAAAGATCTTCATGCTACTAATACGATAAAAAAATAAATAGTTTTCAAGAATTTCAATCCTAGAAACTTCCTCAAATTATTTTCAGTATTCTTCAATGAATTATAGTAATTTAAAGTTTGTTTTATTTCACGTTTTCATTTCTTTTCGTATTAGATAAAATTTTTATTATAGAAATCACTCACTACGCGTATATAGTATAAAAATATTTTATCCACGTTCGTAAGTAAAGAAATCATTCCTCTTTTCTATAATAATTTTCATCAATTAATACATAATAATCCTTCAAACTACTTCTACTCAAGTTTTCATTAACAATTCTATAGTTTTTAGAAGCTGGTCTCCGCAAACTGATATTGAAGAATAATCAATTCAAGCAAATTTCAAATAACTGACTTCATGAACTTTTTCTAGTCTAATGACGAGTGGCGCATGGAAAAATGAAATCTCTGAAGAATAATGAATGGCCTTTTTTTTACTCTCTACATATTTTGTACGTTACTTTTGTAACGCTTGCTTTTTTCGTGTTCATATTGTTAGTTTTCTATTTATTATGATTCTTTTTGGTGGTTGTTATTTATTGTGATTTCTTGTATGGTTCAGTAAAAGTGGGGTGTCGTAGTGGTTGTCAGATAAATATAATATTCACACCTACACTCTCAAGTATGAAAAAATAATGTTCTATTTCTTTCTTTTCTGTGCTACTTTATAAAATAAAAAACAAGAGCGAAAAAGAAATATACTGAATAAATTCGATTTTTACACGGCTAGCAATTTGAAATACAAAACAAGTTTCTGAGTAAATAATCCTCTCAAAAGAACTCATTCATCAAAAACGTCGAATGCAAAGTGTGATTCTAATCTATGCAAAAATATTCTGTCGAAAGAAAAATTTATTTCGTGGAATTTTAGTTAGAAAAGTATGTTTCTGCAATAATCTTGTCAGTAAATCTTTTGTAGATTTATGAAATCATGAATAATTTATTTTTCATTAGTTTTAGATAAGATAAATAAAATGAAAGAATATTGTTATAATACGTTTTATTTTATAAAAAAAAAAAATGGAATAAAAACTGTTTTAACAGTTTACTATTGAAATTTTCCAGACGAAATTATGAAAACACGTTAAAGATATCGTTTGAATACCATCACAGCCGTTTTCTGTCCGGATAACAACAATCACTCATTTTCTATGGAATTGATGCAACTAGAGGTGAAGAGTTCAAATGATTACCTAACATATATCCATATTTTACTGACAAGCTAAGAAAACTTTTTTATTATGAAGTTATGTAAATCTTAAAGACATGTTTTAGGAGAACTACTTGATAGCGTAATAAACAGAAAATTTTATAACTAATAGTATAAACTCGTTAAGAACCGTCAAGCTATATTTAGTCTAATCATAATATTCATTAGCTTTTAAAAAATATTTCATATTAGTGTTGTGATTTCGACAGATAAATTAAGAAAAATATATCAATGTTATTGTAAAGGTTATTTAACATTAATGATACGGGAAAGATGAATTTCAATCGGCATAATCGTAGTTGATACTTTTTCTATCGATTTGACTCTAATTGTAAACTATTTCTTAATAAGTAAAACACAGCATTTCCTGATAAACTCGATTATTCTTCTAATGCGTTCTGTCTTTTCGAGTTTTGACAACATTTTTTTTTTATAATAAAATATTAATGTTTATATTTCGAACTTGTTCAAAAATAATAAACTTACCAGTCCAACTATTTGTTTTATTAGTTTCGAAATTGACAGTTAATTTTCATGATCGCAATCAATACTTTGAAGACGAAAAATAGAACCAAGCATAATAAGTACTTCTGATTCATCCGCATATTTGCTAAGTGCACTGATGTCAGCAAATGGCTTTATCTTGACCATTCGAGGATCGGCATCGATCTCGAATAATACTCGTTCTAAATCGGTCGACACAGTTGTATCGCCGAGAAAGAAGAGAGCTACCTCACGTTGGTTACTGGTGGAAAAAAAATGAATTCACAGAAATGAGCTGTCCAATGTATTGTTTAAGACCATCTAACTCATCATTCGACATCAATTGACTTCGATAAACTCGTAGATAATTCTTAACTTGATAGTTTTGCAATTGACAATGAATATCAGAGATGAATGCACGAAATAAAAAAGTCATATGAATATTTTGAGTGCGTATGAGCCGCGTTAAGAGTCTTATAAAAGAACGATTCTCGAGTATACCACTTTAAGACCTTGTTCGGTGAATAATTCTGTTGAAATTCATGAAGATTGTTTAATTCAATATTATTACCTTCATATTCATTTTTCAAATAATTAATAAGTTCATTTATGTCTGTTTGAGTAGATTTTAGTCGTAAAAGACAATCAATGAGCACTTGAGAAAAAACAAATTCACCATTTACTCCTATTGTTGATTTGCCTGTATCAATACTTGTATTAAGAACACTGATTGACAATGGTTCTTCCACTTTTTTCTGAATTTTATGATCTGTTTTTATTCGAGAGACAAGTTCATCAAGTTCAACAACAACAGCTTTCACCTCGAAAAGAAAAACAAACTGAAATTGAAATCTTTCATTATAATTTTACCTTTGCAAATTCACAAGACCATTGTTCATTACTTTTCTTATCCATACAATATACATAGATTGATATAACTTGTCGAAGTTTATGAATAGAAGGTACTATTTCTCTTCCTAATCGACCACTAACAATCAGTACTAATCGATCCTTTTGTGATCTTTCTTCAATATATTGTTGACATTGTTTTACATCTTGAAATTTCTTCAAATGATTAATAATAGAACGAAATTGTTGTTCTGTATTACGAATCTCTTTAATATTCACATCAGCATCAAGCCAAATAAGACCAAATATTTCAAGATGTTGATCGGCAGAATTTCTGTGAAAATCATCATTTGATAAAGTAGAGGTGGCCATATAAATCAAGAAACTAAATTGTATAAATCTTTTAAATGTTGTCTGTTTGATCTAGTTATCGAATGAAATTTGTTCTCGACAGTTGAAAAAAAAATTTTGTCAATAATACATCACTAATTGTAAAACATTGCTTAAATATTACTGAAGATTAAAATAAAAACTTTTTTTTCATTATCATTCAAATAATAAATATAAAATACTATTCAAATATTATCAACGAAATCAAATAAAGCTAGATCATTACAATTCTTTCATATAAATGTCGACTTTTCAAAAGAAAAAAATATCTAAGAATGAATTTAATTCAAGAAAAAAAAAAACTCATTTTCTAAATTTATATTTTTATTAAACTTGAAGAAATTTAACTTGAAAATTTGTCACTATTGTTTATGAGTGGTAATCTATAGTAGAAAAAAATATTATCTTTTCAACTATTGAAAGATAAATTGCTCAGTTTATAATAATGCTAAACAGTTTCTTTATTTAACTTTGAAATATTCATATTATAGTTATTATTAAATTAATAAAGTGACTCAATAGACGTTTTTTTGAAAAACTTAATTTTATTTTTAATCAAATATATTCACTTACTTTTTGTTTTTCTTCTGTCTTTTCAGTATTGATAATCGAATAAGAGAAAGAAACAGAAAAATACTGACAGATGAACCATCTTGCATTATCATCAAATTGTGCGTGTTTCTTCACTTTCTTGTCAGAACGAAAAAAAAAATATCCGTGTTTTTTTAAAATGCCGGCAATGCAGGTTTCAAATGAAACCTGCATTTTTTTTCTTCTTTTTTGTACATCATTTGATAGAGCGTGAGCTGATGATCATGAAAATCTATTTTTAGCCTTAGCAAATGTTATTTTTAGGTCGAAAAAATACGAAATACTCCGAATGTGTCCTTTTCTCGAAACAAAACATGTTATTCAAAATGTGCACAATTATTAACTTCTTTCTTTTTTTCAGATTCAACATCAAAAACTGAGTACAAACAAGTTGTTAAATTGACTTTAGAACCAAAACTCTATTGGTGGTGACGATTCAAGTCATGTTGAGTGCATTCTGCATAGGTCGATTTTGTAAACCTATCTAGGTTTTCTACGTAAGCGATGGATTCAAACACTTTATCTCATTTAATTCATCATGTCATCAGTCATAAAACTATGCATCACATTTTTTTTCTTTTTTTCTCTTGTGTTAAAAAAAAAATCATCTTTACCAAATTTTGTGCCAAATAACTAGAATTCTGCACGTAACCTACTGGGTGTGGGTGTGAGCGTTTTAAAAGCAAAAGCACACCTACACTCTATTGTCCTCGTATTTCTTACTTCTGAAAGAGAGCGCGAACATAAAAGTGTTGCTTTACTAATTATACTTTAATAACTTAGTTTTGATACAATAATAAATAATCATGCTACTGCATTGCATATACAATCTATGGCTGATTTGTAGGACTTAAAATGTAAATTCATCTTTACTTTGTATCCCTTATAATCACTAATAACCGCGAATCGATCGATGATTTTCAAAAATAAATCCTTTTGCTCAAAAAAAAAAATGAGGAATATTTTCACATAAAATATATTAGTGTGTTATAGTTAAGGTTTTCAATATTGTGTAAAATATTTCGAAAAAACAACGATTAATATCCAAACAAATATTATAAAAACGACATATAATCAAACAAATACTGGTCTTTTTTTGTTCATGTAAAAGCAAACTTCAATGGTAGTGAAACTTTTAAATTCGTTGCTGCTTTAAATTTTGTCTCGTTTGATTCACTAATAATCATGGATGCATAACATACACTAAAATTTCATCGTGGAAAGAAATATTTTTCATCTGGAAACAATATATTCACATTGTCTCTTTGTTTGTCGCATATAGAATTATCCAGACAGTGAAGAATTCAGTGTTACTTGCTTGCTTTCACTAAACATCATAGAGAGACGGACAACAAGATTATACATACTAGTACATCCATATATAATCAATGCAATCAATCACATTGGAATTAATAATTTTCATGACCCTTCTTGTAATAAATATTTCGAGAGAAGAATAGATACCTATAAAGACATGCATGTAAATAAAAAATAATAACAAAACTCAATAAATAAATGAACACGAATTCAAAGTTGAAACCCCTTTTGAAGAAATATTTATAGATCTATTTTTAATCTTGATCAGTATTATGGATTCAGTTAATGAATGCTTCAGTATGATATTGAAAAGAGAAACGGAAAACTCTCTACTTTCAAAATTTTGGGAGTTGTCACTGAACATTCTGATGTTTTAAATCTGACAAACTCGCTGTTTGACCCTTAAAAAACGGTCTTCGTTTAAAAAAGTTTGAATGCAAATAAATTTATCTGTAAAATCCTTGCACATTCTGAGATATTTTAATCATTTGCAAAAGAATCTTACTGCTAAAATGTTGATTATTTCCTTGTTTCATTTGATATTTATTTTAAAATTGGAATGCCAAAGTCAACATATGACAAATATAGAATGATTAATTTTAGTTCAATTAAAAGAAAGAAATTTGTTCAGATATTAATCTGAAGAAAAATCTCTTGACTTAATACCACTAATCTTTTTAAAACAAATCAGACATAATTGTTGAATCAAACTATAAGCACATACAGAATATACGTATTGTTAAAGTTGTTTAATAATTATGTCCGACAAATATTATCTCATAAATGTACGTGCCTTTATTATAATTATAAAGGGTGTTTTTATATATAATGTTTCATTGAACCTATACCAGATTAACTCATGTTTCACATATAAATAATCAAGAATATGAAGTGGTAATAAATACTGTAAAGAAAGAATAGAGAATTGATCAATAGAAATGATTTATAAATAAATCAAATGACGTTAATAAAGGAAGATATGATTGACATTCATGTTTAAATGAATCGATTAAATGAGAATAATAGTTACGAAAAAATGATGAAATAAAATCCTCATCAAGCTAATTTGCATCTATGTATATTTGAGATGTTCGAAGAGTTGATATTTGTTGATTCATTATGAGCCAAAAATAGTTTGAAGACATTAGTTAGATTGTCGTTCTCGTTTTTCAGATCGTAACTTTTATATACTGATGCAATGGATCATGGCAATGTCGTTTTTGTTCATGAATGGTAAACGATAACAACTACAGATGAGTTTTGAATTTTTAATTAAATTATTTAATAAAGAACTCCGATGAATAAGTTTACAAAACATCATTTGTGAAGACCCTAAAATTCCAGCTTTATCTATCATCAATAAGAGTATGAGTGTAGGTCTTCTCTTGTGCCACTACACATCCATATCCTATTTTTTCAAACTCAGACTCGAGATGAGCTACACGAAATTCTAAAACATTCATAAGAAGATCGAATCAAAAAAATGATCAATTCTGTTAGCTCGAGAGATCTACTTCTATATGAAGTTCTCAATGAATATGAAAAGATACAAATGAATGATGAAATACTCAAGAATCGGTACAAATCATCATTGAGAATTCTAAGAACGACTGAAATCAATAATGAAAGACATCAAGAACTCTTAGAATCTAAGCATCTTTGTTCATTAATGAATTTTATTCGCTTCTCGGTGCTGCAAAAAACTGAAAGCTAGTTGTTTTTCTCGTCTCGACCAACTGGGGTTTGCACATTGAGATACGATGAATGCAGCAAATCTTTTGAAATCAAAAACATATAGAATAATTCTATCGGATCGACACCTTATCACACAATCCATCTAGCCAAACTCTTTTTTTTTCGATGTATTTGCCAGTGTTCAATCAAAGCAGTTTGTTTTTCTTTGGAGGAGAGTAAATTTTTTTTTTAATTGATAAAGAGAAATTTAGTAAATTCAAATTAAAACCGAACAGAAATAAATCGATTAAGAAAATAGATCAGTTCTATCAAAGAAGGGTGCGAGTGTGGATCTTCTGTTCAATTACATCCACACATGCATTCATACAGACATTCATTTTCTTGCGAGTATGATTTCTGTTCCAAACAGGAAACTGATCTTCATATAAGAGTACCCATTATTGAAAATATCATGATGCATATATTAGCATCCACACATTTTCTTACACCTTATCGACATCTATATGGTATGCTTATCCGAAACGAGAAGTATTTCTGAAAAATCTTGAAAAAAAATCTATCAATTGACATTACAATATTTTTTATCGATCTAATGATTGTTCCATTCATACATAACACATGCAAAAGTTTAAATTCCAAATCGATATGTTTTGTCCATGTACAAACGCAAACCTTTAGAATACTAAACGCTCGAGCAACTTTCAATCGACGAAAAGTCTTAATTTACGTGCATCCTTATGAAATAACACGATGGTCCTTATTCTCTCTTCACCTCTTTCATATCCTCATCTATACTTTTTTACACAGAAACTCACCACAGTAGTGTACGGATACAGAGAAGATACAGATGATAAGACCCACACCGGTTTCAGAAAATGAAAATATAACTACGTCTCAAAATCATAGTAGATTGGAGTCTCCTATCCGTAGTTCAGTAAGGCAATGATGAAATTTATTTGTCAGTAAAAGGATAAATAGATTATAGCTGTTTAAAATGTCTTTTGTTGAAGTTCAGAAAAAGAAATTATTATTTTTGGTTTTTTTTGGAAAATCCGATGTAGCAAGGCTGATCGAAGTTAGGTTTGTCCTTGTAACAAAGACTTATAGCAGTTTGTTTCTAGTAAAAAAACATCAAACGAAAAGACTCAACATTAGCTATATTTTACCTTTTAGCGGAACATTTGGTAACTATTTTCATATATTCAATGCCCATGCGATTGCAATGGAAATTTCTTAATTTTGTAGTTTTATTATACGTGATTATTTATCATATACTTTTTTAACAAACACAATTATTATTGAATGTTGAAACACATAGCTAGAAACTTGAGTCATCTCGTTCAAAGTAACAAATAGATAAAAAAAAATGATGAATCATTGAAGACTCTTATAGAAATGCAACGTTGTTGATAAATGACAAAAAACAAGAATTCAACTTGAATGGAAGAATACACAACTTCATTTGAATTTCATTCTTACTAACACAAGATAACAATGACATCAGATAAGAATGTCCATTTCGAAACAAACAATGGCAACAGCAATGAAGAACAATTTAAAGAACCAAGAAGTGCATCGGAATTGAGACAACTCTTCCAAACGACTCATATCATGAACGATGGTGAATTCTGATGACGCCACACTTCTGACGACAAATGAAATTGATAACAAGAGTGAACCTCATGAATCAACTGTTTCTACGATTTACAACCGACGAAAAAAGCAACCAAGAAAACCTCAAGATTGTGTACAATTTTATGACATTATTGTTATGAATCTTAAACGACAGTAGAAGATACAGACGTAAATTTATATATAACATGGATTTTTAATACATAAAATTATAATATATGTTAAACAACAGAAAAATTAATATCTTTTCTTTTCTTTATTCAATCAAAAGTTTTTCATTGAATAAAGGAAAGAAACGATATTACTTTTTCTGTTGCCCAACTTATATTATAATTTTTACTGATATTCTTGATCGAATTTCCTGTAAAAGTTCCAAAAAAAAAAAAGAATTTCGAAAAGCAAAATTTCAAGTAACGAAAATCTCGAAATACAAAGTGTCGAATAAAATAGGATTTCGAATAGTTAAGGGTGCAGTCCTGAATCTTGTCTTATCTACGCGCCTTGGTATATCCACAGTAATGCTCACATACCCACACCCCGATGTAAGTGAGATTTAATCTCCTGTAGTATAATTCATCCATAGGGCTCTAACAAACAATTTTTCTAGCTAATAATTACTTTTTTTTTCGCTATTAAAAACAAATGATCTAATTTTACCAATCATTCACATTATACAAGATATTCTGCACACGATGTCAATATTGCTAATCAATAGGAAGTTAGTAATTGTTCAATAACACTTACTTTAGTCATGCAGCGTACTCTTATGCGTCTTGGTTTTCTTAATTTCTTTCATAAACGATTGATACCTTCGATAGTCTTTTTTTCATTAATCTCTCTAGACTTTATATATTGAAAAAAAACCATCGGAGTTGTTGCTCTCCTGCTGTGCCATAAACATGCCTTTCACAGGTTCGAAGACATAAAAATGACGAAAAAAAATTGATTCTAATTGGTTGTACTGTTAGAAAATAAATTTATCTTCTTCGCACCATGTTTCAGTCTAATGATCTTAACTTTTATTACCACTGTATCATTCTGCAACGTCCGATTTATTACATTTTATCTTTAATATTGTATCATGAATCGAAGTATCTGTCAGGAGTGCAGTGAGAGAGTCGCTCAAAGAAGTATGTCTTCATGTGGCTTGTCAGGACGTCCTGATGCATCATAATAACGTTTGGACCATCATGAATTGCACTAATTTTTTTTTATTTTTTCGTTTACTTTCTACTGATAAAAAATAGAAAATTTCAAGCTCTATCACACTCTGAACTTTGTTTTACAAATAAATTTCTTTTTTGGAGGTCCCTAATTAAGTCACTTGATATCTAATTGATCACTTAACTAGATTTGCTATTTTCTGCTGACACTTATCGATAAATGTACGCTTCGATTCATCAAAGTCAATGCTAAAGAGTAAAATATTTGATATCAATAGATAGAAAATTTTGTTCTATTTTTTGCTCGATGAAAAAATTATTAATATGTCATTAGATGTAGAATTCAATTATGAAAAAATGTTGTAACTCTTAAATTGAACAGTAAATAAACTTAAGTTATTTGATAATTAGAAACAAGATTTTGGGTTGTTTTCAGTTTTTCCTTCGCAACTGTTTCTCTCAAGGTTCTTCTATAAAATTCAGAAACATGCAAGTAGAGGTGCATATTTTTACGACAAATTTTGTGAGATAATTCACGTTTCAGGTGAAACATTGTTCAAAAATGTATATCAGTTTTTTTTTCGTTTGTTTACCGTCGCGGTTAATTAATTGAGTACATTTGAATCATTTTAATTAAAGATTAACAAAAACAAAAGTTATGTGAAAAACAAAGGGTACAATTTTGTTGAGCTTGATATTCTCTATTTGATAATGATTAAATGAATAATTTTCATTAGCAAAATATCAACGAAAAAAAAAGCAAAAATGATTCAGTGCAATTTGTTATGGTCCATGCGCATATGACATCATTTGGTTTCATTTCATACTGTTTCTATTCTTTTTCATTCTCTCTACGGCAAAAAAAACCAATGAACCGATTTCACAAGCGGAAAAAAAATGTAAATTAAGTAATCAACACATCTTTACTTATTCTTGTTATGCACACGTCGTTCTATATATAGAATGTAAAATATGTGTAAATGAATAAAATGAAAGAGTGAATACCATACTTCCTAGTAGACCCATGCAATGCAACTTATAATGTTGAGTGTAAGATATAATATCATCAAGGTAGTAAACAAGCAGCAAAATCATTAAGCATACAAATCGAAGAAAATTTATCGCCATTGAAAACAAAGCTCCAATAATTTATACATCAATCTACATTGCTGCAGAAATCAAAATAGAACTAACCATGTAAACGGAAACTTTGCAAAAAAAAAATCTTTTCGATTTGTTTGTTACTTTTGTTGTTATTGCAAATTTGTCTTCTGTCATGAGTCCAAGTCTTGTTTCAGTCAACAATACTCATTCGACGATACATCGAAAAATAATACTGTTCATTCTCTGTATACTTGTCGCTTCCCTATTGATCACGTATTGCTATTACACATCATCCTTATTATGTTATTCATCAAATATACGCCTGATTACGTCAAAGCAATCGTGGTTGAATAATGAGATGGAAGATGGATGGATATCTCCATCTACTTACAACAAACAACAATTGTATTTGCAATCGGTTAAATTAATTCGAGGCAATATTTCCAAAATAGTTCGTGTTGTCAATGGAAAATATGTTATAAAACCATTCAATGAAGATTACATTCAATGGATTAAAAATCAGACTTATATTGATTATCCATATTCATCTTGGAATTGTTCGACTATATCAAATAAAAAATCTGGTAGTCATGAATATTGTCTTCTTACTAACATTTATTTTATTTCATCTACTAATACTTACTATTATTATCGTCATCCATCAGAAAATAAAGAGATGAGCCGAGATCGATATATATCTTCCCATGGTGAAATTCAAATTCACATTCTTGATAATATAACTATGATAAAACAACTTGGTGTCGCAGCTATTTTAACACAACCGATTCATATGGGTGGTGCACCGGATTTGAATTATGCTCATGGATTTCTCGAAAGATGTGGTCCTCTTTTTTGGGTTCTCGCTGAGTATCAATCTCATCCAATGTTTGTTGATCCGAGTAAAATTCAACTTTATTATTCATCTAAAATGGACATCGATTATGGAGGCAATTTATGGCAACCTATGAAACGACTTTCGAATGGAACTTATGAACCTACACTTCGATGGAATAAAGTACTTTACGCCATGTTCTCCATTTATCCATTATTAACTTATAAATCATTTGATCAAGCCACAGTGATGTTCAAACATATGATTTTCACTGGATCACAAGATAAACGATCGGCTGCGTGGGGTATTTATTATGAACCGGTGAGACCACAAAATTATTATCCATTTGAAATACAACATTATCGACGAGCTTATTTAGCCTATTCAGAATGGATATTGAATAATTTTAAATTACATTCAAAATTCGAATTAACATCCATTCAAAAGATCTTACAAAAGAGTCACAGGTCCGAAGAAATATCCTTTTGTTATGAACGATGTCAAAATAAATGGTTCAGTAAATCATCAACAATAGAAGAAACATTTACTGGAGAATGGATTGTTGTTTTGAATCGAGCTGGTGTCGGTCGTCGAGAATTAACAAATGCTGATGAATTAGTAGAAGCATTACTGAGAGCATTTCCTGATCATACGAATCCTTATCTACGTGTATGGCCAAAACAATTCAATTTTGATGATGATTTGTATGAAACAGCACGTATGGCTCGATCGATTCGTGTTCTTATCGGAGTTCATGGAGCAGGATTATCGAATACTCTATTCATGCGACCGGGTACAATTCTTTATGAAATCGATCCACCTGGTTGTCGTCTATTATCATTCAATTTTCGACGTTGGGCTGAAGTATTTAATCTGCAATATGGACTATGGAGTCCCGGAGATAAAAATGATCATTGTTCACGTGACGCAGCAACTACAGTCGATGTGAATGAAGTCATTAGTGATGTGATCAATTTAATTCAAAATGAAAATCAATATCGAAGTGGTTATTTATCACGAGCCCTCGATATTCTTGTGAATGAGTGACAAATGTCAAAGTGGCTAACTATGAAGGTTCATGAAAGATGAAGTGACTAGGAAAAAGCAGTTCTTTTGATATCGAAAGGCTATGATACATTTCGGAGTCATGGTTTCGTTGACTACCAATATGAAACAATTAATTTTTTTGTCTTTTTTGCCATATCCTTGAATAGAATCGTATAATAAAAATAATTAGACCTTGCTTCATTTAACATCGATATTTGATTTGTGAATTTTTTATTAGAAAACTGATCTTATACTTTTCACTTCTTTCCGAAGAGAACAGTAATAATGTTTTTAAAACAACACAAAAATAGCTAGATGGTGATCGTCTTATTCTGTACGTTGGAAGTTTTATATTCACAGTACTACAATCTTAATGACCGTTCAAATGACAAGATATTTCCGTCCAATACACTTCTGTAAATATTGACAATATATGATTGTCTTCTTAGATATCAATTCTTGCAAGAGTAGTGTTTTCTTTTTTTAAATATTTTACAGCAGATGTAAAGAATACGATGAAATAATAGAAGAATCAAAACTTTCTATAATCCATTTGTAATAATATCTCAACTTGATGACTTTTTTCTACATTGCAGATTAATTAATAGGTTTAATTATTAGTAAACTATTTTCATATGATATAGTTGCATATGATTATGGATTATATGTTAGGTAGTGATTTTGTAATGTTACTTAATCAATATGAAATGACTGGGAATTCTGCACGTTTCGATTGTACTGCAGTTGTTCTTGTACTTGATACTATTCACAATATGAGTTATACTCGTCGGTATGAATAAGAATTTTCTTTCTTTTTTATTGTTGTGTTTTTGTAGCGATATTAAACCAAATAGTATTTTACTTGATGCACGTAAACATTTGAAATTCTATTAAAGGATCGTCTTGTGTGATCTAATATTCCCGTTGGTACACACGATTATCATAGTCCAGAAGTTTTAAACATGGTAAGTAAAACTAGTATTTAAGGACCAGAAGTTGATTGATGGTATGTTGGTGTATTTCTTCATAAAATGTTACTTGTAGAGTTTCTTTTTAATTTCATATAAATTGTATTTAATTACTTTTGTTTTTTTCGTTGCTTACATGAAACACCATTGTAGGCTGAACCATTACTTGAGGGTGTGGGTGTGGGTGTGAGTGGCGGCTATCTAAGAAAAAGAAGAACCACACCCACACCCTAATCGCAGCTACTATTCTTGGCATTTTGGAATTGTCTCGCCTTATATTGACTTTTGCAATAATGCGCACAAAATTAGATCAAAACCCATTTTTCGCTTTATCTGTATTCTTGGTTGACTTTTTGCTCTCAATATCAGTACTTTTTCGTATTCGTTCTATCATCACAAGGATTTCAGGAAGCTTATGTTTCGTTTATCAGATACATTACTCCAAAACCGATTCAAGTGTTTTTCGATAACCAGTGTCGTTATCGCTGTGTATCATTTATTTTTCAAATTTTATTGACTTTCGACTAATACTAAAGAATATATTTCTGCAATCTTAACTAATGTAAAGAATCATTCAATTGCTTCGCATTTTATGAAACTTTTATCTTATCACAACAAAGTCTAAAACCCAAGAGAGACAAATGAGAAAGTTCAAAAATGTCTCTTTGTTCAAACACGAATCCTATTTCTGGACAGCCAATTTTTTGATCTTTATAAATGTAAAATTTTTGACTTTTTTATAGCGCACGCTCGTAAATATATCAGTATTTAACTTGCATTGAAAACATTTTTATTGTCCTTTTTTTTTAAACATAAATATACCATTCTTATCAGCCTTTTCTTATATATTGAAGTACCTCTTTTTTAGAAGAAAGAAATTAGAGGGACAAGTTGTTTTTTTTTTTTCTATTATAAGAATATTAAAATGTCTTGTTGTATAATTATAAATTAACACAAATTATTTATAGTTTTAAAAATGGCAGGTGATAAGGCTCCAGCCTTAAAAATGATGGCTCTTGACCGTCCGTTCAAAGTTGGCATGCTATATGATTATAAAACCGATAGGCTTATTCCTAATATGTTGCTGTGGGACGAGAAACTGATTTCAAATTATCTTACTTGCCACTCTTCATCATCTCGCACTTATGAAGTTCATATAAATAATAATTTAACAGAATTAGAGTATCTTTTTGGTATAGATAATAATCTTAAACTCAGCATTCTTGCGGGTCTTGTAGACTTGCCTGGTTCAAACAACCTAATCGATTATTGTCAACGAATCAAACAGACCGAACGGTTCATATTACAATATTCGATAACAACGCATTCTGATGAATTGGCAATTCGTCATTTTAGAAAAAGCGATGTAAAGCACCAAGATCTATTTCATCAACGAGTGGCTACACATGTTGTTACTGATGTCTTTTATGGTATTGAAATCTTTTTTGTATTCAATCGAAAATTATCCGATAATGAAAACCGTACTGAACTTCATAATTCTGTTAAGGAACTGTTGAAAAAACTCACAACACTTCCAATCTCTGATATTGGTCAGCTACACCTGAGTAATGGAGAGAAACAACTAGCTGAAACATTAACATGTCAATACTATGGTGATATTCAACTTAAATCGAATCCAACATCATTTATTGAAGCAATCGAATTACTTAGACAACTACCGAATCTTCTTGGAAAAAATAATGAAAATACCAAACCAATAAAAGTATTGTTGTATCCACTGTATTTATTAGATGATTTTGCTACAGCAAAGAAAAGATTTCATGAAATTAATAATCATATTCTTAGTAAATCTGTGGAACATATGACTAGTCTACATGAATTAGTTATTAGTTTAAGTGACATAAAAAGTAATTTATCATCTCTGAAGATATTCTATCAAACTGAACAACAATTGTCAAGAATTTGCACTCGAATGTCCGAAATTGAAACTGATATCAGAAAAGAAATGGTGAAATTATTACCTGAAGTTCGTGGTACATCCTTACAAGAAAAATCACTCACTGATCTATTGGAAAAATTTAATTTTTCTTTATCGACCAAACAAAAGTTAAACGACTGGATTCAATTCAAAACTGAAGAAAAAAACATATTTACATCATTTATTAATGATTTAAGGAAACAAGACAATATTAATTTATTAACATTTCCATTTGCTGAAGTTCGAAAAAATTTCAATCATAAATTTATCCTTCGCTTGATTATTCATGTTACAGAAGAAAACGATACATTTTTAAATGAACTGTTGCAATATCTTGAGGATTACAGCAAACGAGATCATGATACCAACATAAAGATCAATCGTTGGTTCAATCAGAATAATCTTGCATTAATTCAAAAACAAATTACACTATTTATTAAATTTGCTGAAATAAATGTTAACAAAAACAATATTGTATTCGTTGTCGATGAGGAAGATATTAATAAATTTCAAAGGAAAAAAGGAGTAACAACTATTCTTTATCAAAATGGTGTTCCTATGAATTTCGAAATTCCAAGTAGACCAGGACGTCCACATGTTACAGATAATTCATGTCAAAATACAACACTCAGTTGGACAAAACCTGCCCAAGGAAGTGAAAATATTCAACAGTACATGATTTATGGTCGAAATCATCTAAATCGTCATTGGAAATTATTATTGTCAACTGTAAATGACACACCATCTGCAATTATTTCAAATCTTGAAGAAGGAAAATATCGATTCAAAATACAAGGAATTACTTTAGCTGGTTATACAGAGGAAAGTGATGCCTGTGATGCAATCGGTTAGTATATTGATTTTTTTTTACTGTGTTACAATGCTATTTTAAAAACTTGTTCTACAATTTTCATTTTTCAAACGATAATTATGCATGAGCATGAGACTTAAACTTCACTCGTAAAAGAATAACATCTGAAGAAAACTTCAGTCAATTTTCGAATTGGTTACTATTCGAAAGTCTCTAGGAATTTTGAGAAACCATTTTTTAATCGAATCTATAGTATCAATTTCATAAGTACTTTAGAAGTTTTTTACTCTCTAAACTACAAGTAATAGATTTTCATTTCAAAGTATTAGATACATTCTGAACGTATAGGCATCATACTTGAAAGTATCTGATAAATACAAACCAAGTCAGATATTTACTCTCGACTTGCAACTAGTAGTATAACTTGAAGAGTAGGAAATTCCAAACGAATTTGAAATAATTAGAAGGTATTGGTTACCTTATTAATGTATTGAAGATAAAATTTTCAAATTATATTAGTTTGTTTTTAAACGATACTACGATTCTTTATGTATTTCGGAAGCAGATATTGTCGATCGTCTATCTACGGAAAATTTCCTGTCAAACGAACGATTGTCATCAGAAGAAAAATATTATTATGAGGAATGTAAAGAATATTATCAACTAACAAAACAACCATTAATATCAGTGTCTGATGAAATTTTGGACAGCACCATTGAATTACAATCATCATCAATCAAACTTGGCATTGATGAAGACTGTCATAAATTTGATTTACGAGATTTCTTGAAGAAATTTTGCGACACGTTAAATTTAGAAATAAATGATATATCTGTCCAAAAAATACAAGCAGGTTCGGCTATACTAGAAGCAACAATCTACGACAAACTTAAATCGAGTAATAAGAAAACCCGTTTAAAAATGATCTGTAATAAGTTAACAGATAAATTACAGACACAACTTGCTCAAATGAACATTTTCTTCTTGTTTATGGGTTCTATTGAATCATTACACAAAATACAAAAATACCGTGCAGAAATTAAACTAAATCCAGAATATAATCGCATTTATGCCCGTGGATATAATTATTGGGTTGGTGCTCTTAATGATGGCATAGATCGTGGAAATCAACCATATTATTGCCCTGTTGGTTGGCAAAGATGGTCGTTTTACGTTACTGAGTACTTCTACGAAAAATTTAAAGGATGGTGTACATGTTATCATGGAACGAAATTCGTGTATGCTTTATCAATTTTATTAAGTGGACTAAAACCAGCAGTCGCAGACGAACATGGTGATGGAATATATGTTACTCCATCCATTAACTACGCATCCCACCCAAGATACTCAGAAGTGAAATTCATTGAAGCATCGTCTCAAAAACTTGTTTTTAAATCGGGCGAATATGTGCAATTCGTATTAGAATGTCGTGTCCATCCAAAGTATATTAAAAAAATAGCTAAGGAAACACTAGACGCTAGTAATACTACAATTGATTCCAATATAACCAATGATATTATTGAGTGGGTTATTGATCATCAGAATAAAAGTATTGTCGATTTCAATGATCCCAATGCTTCGATCATTTGCAGCGGATTGATGATACGTGTGACAGATGATCATCCTGGACTATTACCTCAATCACAATGGTGGCATAAATCACATTTATGCAATAAATCATCATGTTGTGCATTAGGTATTGATCTTAATCGTCTTAAAGGAAAAAACCAACGTGGTGATAAGTGTAACATTGTTTTTATCTGATAAAACAAATCACTAAACGGTTTTATCTTTACCTTAAAAAAAAACAAATTGTTCCAGATGCATTACTGAATTACCATTCTTCATAAAACATATGAATCACACCTAAATTTTGTGGTAATTCAATTGTCACGACACGTATGTGGATATGAGTGTCGAGGTGGATTTAGGATGTGAGTGTGCGTATGAAAGTGTGATTAAAGACGTATGAGAGATGTCGCGTACCGGTGTGTGGTTGTGTAGGGATGTGCATGTCGTCGTTATGAATATTGATACTCAAAATTAAAGGATGTGGGTGTAAGTGTGATGTGGATGTGGATGTGGGTGTGGGGTGTGAGCGGGTGTGGCGCGTGGGCGGGAAGTGGGTGGGTGTGGGTAGTGTTGGTGTGATGAGGGTGTGGATATGGGTGTGGGTGGTTGCATGGATATCAACACCCACACCCCACACCCACACCCACACCCACACCCACACCCACACCCCACACCCATACCCACACCCCACACCCACCCACACCCACCCACACACCGCAAATTGCTCAAAGTGAACTTTCAAAATCAAATTGAAATATTGGGTGTGGGCGTGTGGAGTATGGTTGTGTGGTGTGGATGTGGGGTGTGTGGGTGGGTGCTGGTGTAGAGTGTGAACCATTGTAAAGGATCACACTCACACCTACACCGACATCACACACCCATACGTACACCCACACCGGAGACCCACACCACACATCCATACCCACATCCACACCCACATACCACACCGAAAACAATTATAGAAAGAAAAAGATATTACGACCTTTTCAAGTCGGAAGAGCAATTGAAAAGAAAATAAAGTTTTATCTTTTGATAACAAAAGTGCATGCTACATATTTTATTCTCCAACAATGATGTAGTTAGACGTTACAAAAAAAAAACTTCTAAATCACAATTGTTGTATTTGAGCAAGTAAGATATATATTGTATTCGATACCACTAAGATTGATTGTCTTGCTGTTGATGACTAACTCTCTCTACGTTATCTGAATTAGAGACCTGCAGGGCAAGAGTTTTTCGTACCGCATACCCTACCCTACCGTTCCTTATCCTAATCATACCGTATCCTACAGGGTAAGGTAGGGCTACCCTGCAGGACTCTAATCTGAACAGGGTTGCCAGATCAAAAACTTGAATTTCAGAAATTTTTTTCTCAAATCAGAAAGCAATCAGAATTCTTTTGAGAAAAATCAGAAATAATTCAGAAAAAGCTGTTTTTGCAAATTATTGGCTATTAAACCCCTCCTCCAGAATAAAAGCCCAGGGGGTGCCTCTGTTCCGCAAGCTATAACTTTGTAACAAAGCTTGTTCCGATGCCAGTTTTTGCGTTATTTAATAGAAAAGATTCATTCTTTCATTTTTCATCGACTTGAGTTCATTTCTTCATAAAGTGAACCTCGATTTTCAACGGAGAATTCTAATCCAGAGATGGACTTCTATTCTGTGGGGGGGGGGGGGGGGGTATATTAATATGCTGGTAGCAAATGCATTACTAATATTTTTTTAATCGACCTATAGTTTATTTTCATAGCTATTTTACTGTAAAGAAACACGTTGCAATAAATATATAGTTAAGTTAATCTGAGAGCACAACAAAATAAGTAGTCTTGAACTCTTTCACTACGTTCGAATTTCACTCACAAAAAGTATACAAAAACAAAGTATATATTATGTAGGTTACGAAAGTCTACGAAAGAAAAATAAGTATATAATATCGATTCGATATTATTGTTCATTTTTTCTACTTAGCGTAACAAGTGTGCTTGAGTTAAAATATTTTTGTAAAATTTTTCGCAGGAATAATTACTATTTATTCTTATTTTAAGTTGAGCATCATTATAGCGATGAGTTACAATCAGATTACACGTTACTGAGGAAACTGCAATCTAAAAGACTTCAGAATTCAAATTCGAAAGAAAACCAAAAAATTCAGCAGAAAATACCAAAATCGGAAAAATCAGCACATCAGAACGTATTCAGAAAAATTTTCAAAATTCAGAAACTTTTTCTTTTTATCAAAAGATTTGGCCACCTTGCATCTGAATCAATATCTATTTTCAAATTTTTTCCAACATGCCTCATTATTGTTTTTTGGACCAATTACCTGTTGAGCTATTGCATACTTTCTTCGCATATTTTTGGGCACATGAAATATTTCTCACCTTTTTCGATGTTAGTGATCATATTAATGCTGTCCTATTGTCGTATTTTGGTTATCAATTAAATTTTAAATCAATCAGAAAGTCTTACTTCGACCTCGTCTGTTGTCATGTCCGGCCTGATCAAGTTATTTCTCTTACACTTTCTGACGACAATGATACACCTGCTCAATCTGAACTTTTCTTCTCGCGTTTTCAAATCGAACAATTTACTCAGCTACAATCACTTACATTGATTAAGATTGAATGTGGATCGTTAGAAGATATTTTTTCTAACTTATACAAACTTAAACAATTACGTTTTCTTACATTTCATGCTACATCAATAAATTTTACATATTCTAAACGGACTGATAATGACTCAACTGAAATTAATCGGTTAAACTTACTTTTGTCAGACAGTTTTACTCAAGTATTCCCTCAACTGCATTGTTTGTATTTAGACAATGGCACCCTTTTAGAGTCAATTCCATGTTTACATCTTCGTCATTTGAAATTGAATACATGTTCAATGGAGACGTTAAAAACAGTTTTTTCTCATGCAGTACAACTAAAATTACTCGAGATTTGTCTTACGTGTGAAGAATTTAGCTTTGAACTTCTCCTACCATTCCCTGAGCTAACTCGACTTAATTTAAAACTACAATGTGAGTATATTCAATTTGACTAAAACAATTGTTTTCAACACAAAATTTTCGGTGAACTAAATTCTTTTGACTTCGTATTTTGATAATTAAAAACATCATTAAAACAGGATAATTATCAAAACTCTTCTCGTTACACAATACACAAGATCTTCTCTTTCTTTTTATTTTGATTAATAGGTAAACGTTTAACAATGTATCAAATGGAACAATTTCTACCACATTTACCTCATCTAAAGCATTTCGTATTTCAAGCTTATGCTACAGCTGAAATTTGTGATGGATATCGATGGCAGTTATTAACAAGTTCTCTTATTACATTCAACTTTAAATTTCATGCTTCACTTGTTTTGAGTGAACAAACTCTCGATTCATTTCGTTCGACATTTTGGCTTGAAGAAAAACGTTGGTTTGTGGCTTATCAAGAGCATTATCTTTTTTCAATACCTTATTTTGCTCCAAGCGACGCTGCGATTCCTTATAAGTCATCTGTTTATTTCACCGCACCTGATAATTCAGTTATTTATGATCATGTAACTAAAGTTGTTGTGACAAAAGTTCCTATTCAGATTAGTGTTCGCTTCTCATACATCAAAGTACTAGAATTGAGATGTTCAATATCGCTCGAGACTCTGTTGTCTATAGTCAATCTGTCAAAAGTAGAACATTTAACAGTATCATCATATGAATATATCTCACTAATGGCTTTCATAAGAGCAATGCCATCTCTTCATAGTCTATCTATCGAACACTGTTCAAAATTCAATTTGATTGAAGAAATGCAAGGCAATCAAATTGAACAGATCCGTATTCTTCAAATTAGTTATTATCCCGATAGAACCGATCACTTTATTGAACAAATGTGTCGTTGTTTTCCATCTGTTGAACATTTGATTGTTCCATGCATTGTTTCAAGATCAGCTATGATCCGTTGTATTGATGGATTCAAAAAACTATCGAGTGCGTCATTTTCTATATATGATTTATCCAAGAAAAACGTACAAAAATACAACAATAATCCTGACTCCATCATCAGTGAATCACGACGACTCATTCACGGTGCTTATACGCTACGATATAATCATATGTTTGAAGCTACTTCTACTGTTTACTTATGGCTCGGGCAACAGGTAAATGATACTCATCTAATTACTATCGTTATTATTTATCGTGCTCCTTTCGTTACTTTCTAGTCGCGAAGATCTTTTTGGCGTACTCATTGGCCACCACGACGAGGGTACTTATGGTATCGGTTCATCAGCGTCCTTTGCAATTATGATGTTCTATATTTGAGTGGACTGATTTCTATGATTATCAACTGTTATTCAATTTTATCACCAAACAATAAGTTACTTCATGATGCAAGCATTCATCTTTCGTCAATACATATTTTAGTAGATATCCTAATGAGAATCGTTGTCTACACTATAAGTGCTATAATTATTCATTATTTTCCTGTTAAAGGTTTTCATATTCTTATTTGCTATTGTATTGTCGTTCCGTCTATTATTGCTATCGCCTTGCTTCAATAATAATTTCACGTTGAATTCAGTACATTGGGGTGTGGGTGTGGGTGTGGGATGTGGGCAAGGGGGAAAAAGCAGATTTTAAGATTTTAAGATTTTGGGAGATTTCAAAAGATTTTGAGAGATTTTGAAAGATTTTAAAAGATTTTGAGAGATTTGAAAGATTTTAAGATTTAAAGAAGATGGACTATTTTATTTAACCCTTTAAGTACCAAAGGGGCCTATAGGCCCCACTTTTTTCAAGTTCGATAAATTTTTAATAACTTATGAAGCTAACACAATTTTAACGTGTGTTTCTCTTTCAAATATAGAAAACACTTTGACATGTACACTTATATGATATCTACCATCCAAATAAGATGAAATAGGTATTAACCCTTTAAGTACCAGCGAGGCCTATAAAGCACATTTTTTTCCAACATGATAAATTTCGAATAACTCGAGAACGCAAAACAATATCGAAGTGCGGTTTTCGTTATGACATAGAAGAGACTTCGATGCATACATCTATACAAGAGTTATAACCCTAATGACATCACTCAAGTAGTAAGCCTGATTGATTTTTGGAACACCATCGCTATTCTAAAAAGGAGAAGGGCAAACAATGCCCTTTTGTAGTCCCCAAAAAAATTTCGGTTTTCCGTATTGAAATCAAGCTAGGAGTGACTCCTAGTGGTATTTCAAGGTTGATTTTGTAACAGCTCTAGATCAAATTTTGACCAAAGCCCGTACCCCCCAGGGGGATGACCAAAGTACTTATTCGCTATCCCCGTAGGGGGTACGGGCATGGGTCGAAAATGACTTTAAAGGTTTTTTAAAAAGTTTTGATGAAAATATCCACAACACACACTGCCTATTTTAAATATAAAGTCTCAAAGAAATTTCATCCATTGGCTGAGCCATGGGTCTGAAAGGGTTAACCCTTGCAGTACCGGCCTATTTTAAGCACTATATTGACAATATATATTTTCATAAAAGAGATTTTTGTACTTTGGGACATTCTCCTGATGAAAATATGCTTTTTTCGTATTCGACCCAATAGGAAAATTATTAGAAAGACATTTTTTATTTGCAACAAGTGTTACAAAAAATCCCATGTGAAAATTTAAGCAGAAAAGCTCGCTTAAAGCAGCTTAAATTTCTCGCTTAAAAGCGCTGAAAAGCGCACATTTTAAGCCGCTGAAAGCGCTTAAAATTAGGTTTTTAAGCACTTTTAAGCGCTTACAGTTAGATATCTAAGCAC